AACCCATACTATTTCAGATAAGTGGCTGCCTAGCTTCTTCTTTAAAACCTCCAAGGATGGAGCATCCGCAACTTCTGAAGGCAACTTCTGCTCCACTGGTTGATTGTCCTCACGGTTAGGAAGTTTCTCCATAATTGGAAGTTGCTTCTCTCTTTGATGAGTTTCTAATCGTTGTTTCTTGTCCTGCCTTCTGGGGCGTTGGAGAATAATTTGACCCCCTCCTCTTTGTGGCAGCCCCTCAAATACTGGGATCTTGCTATCCTGTCCCCCCTATTCCTTCTTTTCTCTAGGCCGGCCATACCCAATTCCTGCAACTGTTCTTCATATGTTTTTGCCTCCAGGCTTTTAATCTTCTTAGTTGCTCTTCTCTGAACTTCTTCCAAAGTCTCAACCTCTTTGCAGGTGAACCAAAATCGGTTGCAATACTTAAGCATGGATTAACTTGGGTTTCCCCCTCCCCCACTTTTTGTATTCTAGGCCTAACTCCACCTACCACCCCTCCTCACAAGGCCAGCCAAGAAAACTCTTTTAGGACTTCGCCAAAGCCCAAGGCGTCATGCCAGACTGTTATGCCACCTTCCCCGAAACCTTCCATCTCTCAAGGACACAATTTGTTCTGGAAGGTTCCAGAGCAGTCGGAGCTGTACGCGCAGCTGAGCAAGACCAGTGGGCTTCCCGTGGGTCAAGAGCAGAGGAAGGCCAGGCGGCTGGGCCTGAGGCTGTTCGGCGACCACGACTACTGTCAGCTGGTCATTTCTCAGACGGAACGATGCCTCAGCCGCCCCTGGGAGCTGCAGGATTCCAGCCAGGTGGACCTCACGGGCTGCCTGCCTGGACACTGGTGCCACATTTGTTCTTCCTCCGAGCAAAACAGCCAGGAGGACGAGAGAGAAAGTCCTCAGGCCAGGAAGCAGGACTTACCGTCCAACAGTCGGAAACAGCTCCAAGACCGGGAGATCCGCGCCGAACTCAACAAGCATTTTGGTCCCCCTAGCCAAGCCATTTTTGAGGAACAGACCACCAAGACGGGCGACCTGGGGGACTACGGCCACTACAGCGAGGAGCAGTTCTCGAAGCTCTCTATGTTTATAAATTCGGGACTAGCGATGGACGGCTTTTGGGAGGACAGCGAAGAGGAAAGCGAAAAGATACCAGGCTACACCTTATTCGATTGGTCACCGTCTTCCTCCCCCCTGGATTCCCCGGGCAGAGATCCGGGGTCTCCCCCCAACTCGTTCGCTCAACGGTTCCAAAGGCTGCGCTCTCAGTCAAGGCCTTCCCCACAGTGCAGGCATTGTCCCCAGGCTGCGTATTCCCGTTCGAGGTCAAGGTCGCCCGGCAAACGCTCCTCCTCAAGGTAACAAGGAGGGGGAGGCGGGAGGCACGTTCCGCTTAAGGAGAGGGGAGTCTGGCTTCCGCAAAGCTGGACCGCCTGCGTTTCCTCAGTCCATTTTGGGCAGGAAGTTGATTCCAGCTTACAAGAGGAGGCAATGGATCCATCCCGGGTTTGAGACCTCAGCGCCACACGATGGGTTGAGCTCTCGTGACCTGCCTCAGCTCCTGCCCACCTAGCAGTTTGCAGATAGATGGATGGATGGATGGATGGATGGAAGATATATGATTGATAGATGATTGATGATGATGATGATAGATAGATAGATAGATAGATAGATAGATAGATAGATAGATAGATAGATAGATAGATAGATAGATAGATAGAT